CGACCCTATGTACAAGAGAACAAAACACTGCCTGGTCCTTTGCTAGCCTCATAATCCTTGCTACACCTAAGCCCATCATTAATAACGTTATTAGCGCATCCTGCTAATAACAGAAAAGAAAAGTAAGTTAGGAGTACTTCAGTTCAAGTGCAGATTCATCCTAGAAAAACAGACACTTGACATAGATAAAGTTCTCCAAACCCCATATCAGTGCTGCTTCAAATTGTAATAGTGACCAGACATGAAAGGCACCCCCATGGCTCAGTTCTGCTGTTGTTGTTCAGGGCCAGAAAGTCAGCTCCAATTCATAATGACCAGAAAGTCTGGGTAATCTGCTTTTGAAAAACCAGACACTGAAAACCTTATGGAGCACAATCACAACAGAACAAAACACTGACCAGTCATGGGCCATCCCCATAATCATTGCCATGTTTGAGTTGCAGCCACTGTGTCAGTCCATCTTGTTGAGGGTCTTCCTCTTTTTCACCGACCCTCTACTTTACCAAACATGTCCTTTTCCAGGGAAGGGTACCTCCTGATAACATGTACAAAGTAAATGAGATGAAGTCTCACCATCTTTACTTCTAAGGAGCATTCTGGTCATACTTCTTCCAAGACAGATCTGTTCATTCTTCTGGCAGTCCATGGTATATTCACCAACACCATAACTCAACGGCATCAATTCCTCTTCAGTCTTGTTTATTCGTTGTCCTGCTTTCTCATGCAGAGTAAGCAATTGAAAATATCATGGCTCGGGTAAGGTGCACTTTAGTCCTCCAGGTGACATCTTTGCACTTTAATACTTCAAAGGAGTTTTTGCAGCAGATTTGCCCAATGCAACAAGTCATTTGATTTCTGGACTGCTGCATCCCTTGGGTGTTGATTGTGACTCCAAGTAAAATGAAATTCTTGACAACTTCAATCTTTTCTCCATTTATCTTGATGTCGCTTATTGGTCTAGCTGGGAGGATTTTTGTTTTCTTTATGTTGAGGTGTAATCAATACTGAAGGTTCTATGTAGACTTTGATCTTCCTCAGTAAGTATGGTTCAAGTCTCTTTGCTTTCAGCAAGCAAAGTTGTGTCATCTGCATATCTCAGGTTGCTAATGAGTCTTCCTCCAATCCTGATGTCATGTGTATCTTCATATTGTCCAGCTTCTTGGATTATATGCACAGCCACAGATTGAATAAGTATGGTGAAATGATACAACCTTGACATACACTTTTCTTGATTTTAAATCATGCAGTATCCTCTTGTTCTGTTCAAATGACTGAGTCTTGGTCTATGTACAGGTTCTGCATGAACACAATTAAGTGCTCTGGAATTTCCATTCTTCCCAATGTTCTCCATGATTAGTTATTATCTACACAGTTGGATGCCTTTGCATAGTCAATAAAACACAGGTAAACATCTTTCTGGTATTCTCTTCTTTCAGTCAAGATTCATCTAGTATCAGCAATGATATCCCTCATTCCATGCTCTCTTCTGAAGCCACATGTATAAATGCCATTTATGTTCTCGAAAAACAGTACTTCTCAATGAATAGATCAATGGTCTTGCAAAAGCTTATCATGTGATCTCCAGCCTCATTTCTATCACCAAGGACATATTTCCCAACTACAGATCCTTCTTCTGTGTTTCCAACTTCCACTTTGCACCTCAGTAATACCTTTTTGTTGTTCTATCTTGACTCTTGTTCATCAACAGCTGAAAACAGAAACTCTTACTAAGAATAAGCCAAAGGCCTGGACCCTATCTCTCCCCAAAGTCATCTTTACAAATGTGGTGGAGACCCATGGAGACTCCTGCAGAAGTCCTTCCATTTGTCTTTTAAAGAGAGGGAGAAGGAATGCTGCCTTTCTTTAACAAATAATCACAGCTGTGTGAACAGAACTGGTTTGGAGGGCTCACAGAGCCCCTTATTGTTGGTGGCTTTAGCTCTTATAATAGCTTTCTCTCTGCAATAATGTTTTATTATATTGGTTCTCACCCCAAATGTAATGTTCTAAGGAAGGTGGAGGAAAAAAAGAAAATCCCACTGTGCTCTTTCTAAGCCTTGTAAATATGGGAAGAAATAACAAAAGAAAGAAAAGACGCTTTGCATTTTAAGGGTCTTTTCAGGGACCCTAAGAACTCCACCAGTTCATAAATGACTTCATTTGAACACTTTCAGCTTGTAATTCAGTCATTCTTCAATGAGGAATACGTGATTTGCCAAACACGAAATGGAATCATTGAGCCCTCACAAAATCAGAGGAAGGAGCCCTGGTGGTGCAGTGGTTAAGTGCTCAGTACTACATGGTTCGAACCAACCAGCCACTCTATGGAAGAAAGATGTGGCAGTCCCTTCAGTAAAGATTACAGCCTTAGAAACCCTGTGGGTTGGTTTTACTCTATGTTATAGGGTCACTATGAGTCAGAATTGACTCAATGGGTTAGGTTTGGTTTGGGTTCAAGTCAGAGGCTGTATGTGCACTGTGCTTTATTCTCCTTAACAACTTAGGCATCCTGTGGAAGGCATTCCAGACAGATGTTAGCATGGGGTCCTACCTGGAAGAGGTGTGCACATTGATTGACAAAATGCATGCAACTCGACTTATTTCAGACAATTAATTCCCCATGCCACTCTACCCTCCCAGGGCACACACAGAGAAAGAGAATTTAGCTGCTTTTCCTAGATTCTCTCTATCACAGCCCTACACAAACACATAATAAGCCAAACACAGGACAAGACTATTAAAATAAAATGTAGGATAAAATTACATAGAACTATGGAAAGGACTGAGGAAACTTGCTGGTGCAATGGTTAAGTGCTCGGTCACTAACTGAAAGGTTGGTGGTTCAAACCCACCAATGGCTCAAGAAAGAAAAGACCTGGTGATCTGCTCCCATAACAATTACAGCTTAGGAAGCCCTATTCAGCAGTTCTACTCTATCACTCTGGTGACATAGTGCCTAAGGCATTTGACTGCTAACCAGAAGGCTGGCGGTTCAAACTCACCAGCCACTCCTCAGAAGAAGGTTGGGCAATCTACTTCTGTAGAGATACCACCTTGGAAACCCAAGAAGGGGTCGCTATGAGTCGGAAACAACTCAACGGCAGTGAGTGAGTTTGTGATTCTGGCCCATAGGTTCACCATGAGTACGAACTGACTCTATGGTACACACCAACAACAATACAGAAAGGCCTAGCAATTTATGCAAAAGATCACAGCCACTGATGGAGTACACTTCTGCTCGAAACACACAGGGTTGTCATGAGTCAGAAGTGATTCAACATTAATGGGTTTGGTTTAGTTTTTTCATACACACCCATCCTCTCTTCCACACACAAATGGGAACATAGAAAACTTAGTGAGATCTGCATAAGGTCTGTAGTCTAGTTAATAGTATTAGACTAATGTCAATTTTCTAGTTTTGATATTATATTCTTGTTACTGAAGATGTTACCCTTAGGGAACACTGGGTGAAGATTATAAGGGACTCTGTACCATTTCTGCAATTTCTGGTCAGTCTGTAATTATTTCAAGATACACGTTTTAAAATAATGTCAAATGTGTTGGTTGTATGGCAATGACCTCTAAACAACTGTAATACAAGGTTGCCAGGCCCTTCAATTGACTATACCACAAGAAACAACAATAACAATATGCATAGCTGCTTTGGAACAACACCAAGAAATAACCACAGCCATTGCTTCACTCCAAAAATGGCTTCATAGATATCACAGCCCAGGAGAGACAGGAAGTTGATCACCAGGGGAAGAAGGTAAAACACTGTCTCCTTAAGTCCCTGCCCCAAACCAGCACTGCTGAGGGCCTAGAGGTGTCAGACACTCCCGTCAAAGGGTGTGCTGTCCCAGGCCACTGATTTCTCCTCTCGTCACGCTTGCCTGGAACACTAGCATGAAAGGCCCACCACAAGTTCTCGAGTTTTCGGTGCATCAGAGTCATCAGGAACTTGTTTCAAATGCTGACTCCAGGGTCCCATGCCCCACAGATTCTGAGTGGGTAAAGAATGGGGCCTAGGAATTTGCATTTGCAATAACAGCCTCGGGTGATCTTGACACAGGTAGGCCTGGGCCACCTTTTTTGGAAACACTGACAGACCCTGAGTGGGTGCCTGGGAGCGAGCCCTGATTGGCTCCCCATCCACATAGTCAGGTGTTCCTCACACCAATGGAGAGAACCTCAGACCCCACTTCTATATGTGGAGCCAGAGTTGCGCAACCTCGCTGCTTAGGGGGAGCTGAGGAAGGAAGCTTCCTGTGGAGATTGTGACCACGTGACAGGACAGAACACTGCGTTTGGACTCTATCATCATCATGGTTACTTTTACTGCGTACTCATTGTGTGCTAAGCAATTACATCTGATTTAATTCTCATGACACTGCCATGAGGAAAATATTTATTATCCCGATTTGACAGGTAAGAAAACTGAGGCTCAAAAAAGTTACAAACTAGCAGAGCCAGGAGTTGAACCCTGGCCAGTTTGCCTGAAAAGCCCATGATGACTGCCACTCTGTGATACTACCTCCCTGGCTGACATGAAACTTCCTCCTAGCTCTCATTTCCCCTAAAATAAAACACTGTTTAAACATAACAGAAATGTGAGTCTTTTGAGGGGAAGTGAGAAGCACGGCAAAAGAGGAAGATCTCTCCCAAGCCTTGTTTCAGTCGCATTACTACTCCTTTCCAACTTCAAGCAGATCTAAACCTCTTGAGGCCTCCCTTTCAGGGCCCCTTCAAGGGCCTTCACTTTCACCGTGGGTCCTATTCTCTCCTAACTTTTCCTCTCTCTTCATCTTTCTATTTTTCCTCTTTTGTCCCCAAAGTCCAAAATTACAGGCTCCATGTAACACAGCAGAGAGGCTTATGAGAGCAGTCTCTCCTTTCCTTATTTCTCCTGCTGTTAACATAAGACTGGTCCCCATCATCCTATTATGGCATCACCATGTGAAGAAAGGAGATATAGGTTCCTAGCAAGGCAAATGACCTACCATTTTCAAAAGGACACTGGGGAATCTTGTTTGCCCGAAGGTTCCAAATATAACCCATGTTCCACTCAAGGCACACTTGATGATCTTTGAAAGGGCGTTCAAAAGGGGGGACCGCCTTCAGCAGAGTGAAATTCTTCGCTACAGCATGTAGCAAGTTTTCCTCCCATTTCACATTCAAGTCTCCACCACTATATTTGTGAGTAATCCAAGCGCGTAGTATCACTGCGGATACCGAAATGGAGTGTCTGATGAAATAATCATCTCTGTAAACCATGATGCTTGGAAATTTCACATGCACTATTTGTGTCCTGCTGGTGTGAAGATGTTTCTCATTCTTCCATCTTTTTTTGTACACAGGAATGCTACTCCTGAACTCAGATGAGACAACTGCTTCCAAATTGACAACACAAGGCTTAGAGCATAAATACTCAACCGAGACTTCGGAGACATTGCGAACATTTCCTTCAGAGACAGTAAAATAAATGAAGTCTTTGTAAGCCACGTTCTGCTCAGCTTTGGGTATCACTGATGTAGTCAAGGAAGTCTGCCTGCCCAGAGATGGTACAAAATTCTGAAATGGAAAAGAGAAAGAAAGAAAGGTTTAAAAGCATAATTAGAGATACGTGAATCATTCTTTTCCTTGAGTATAAAAAAATAGCAATCTACATAAAGCAATGAATCTACATAAAGCAAAGATGTCAAAACCACTACTGATTGGAGAAACACCAACACGCACAAATGATGATGAGGCCACATTAAATCTCTCCCCAGAGTCAGGAGCATCTGCTGATCAAAATTAACTTCCAAAGCTATGTGGCCATAATTGCAGAGCTGGTTTCCAAATGGAGGAGCTGGTTCACAACAAATTCAGTAGTAGCTGAACCTCCTATAGACTGAAAAAGAGAAGACCAAGCTTCAGACACTTTTAACTACTGTCCTGTCTGCCAGTGGTGGCCAGAAGCTACCAAATCAAAGAGTGGGAAGGAGTTCAAAGTGCATCCAGAGGGAACGCAACAGGGATGCCAACGTGGCCTCTTTTTCTTCCATAACTTCAGAGCCAGGGCAAAGCATGCATGTCGGATGGGCCAGCAGGAGGTTTCTGCTATTGCCAATCAAACACAGGCAAGCTTGGACCACGGACTGTGTTGTCTGATTCTTCTGCCATGGAAGAATGCTACATGTGCCAAGAAAGATTTCAGCCGTGTGTGTATTTATCTAGTTCTTTAAATAATGAAGCCTTCTCAATATGGACATTTCTTCTGGAAAAAGTCCAGAAAGCTTCGTCTTGAAATCAAGGTAGCTGTTTCAGGCATGGGGCACTGATGTAGCTCTCCTAAGTGCTCTTCTAAACATGAGTTTGTGGTTGTGGGATCCATGATACAAGAGCAAAAAGGTCATTTTGGTAAACTCCAAAGCAGGAAGATGGACTCTTTTCTTCAATTCTGTCTTAGGGCAAAAGTAGACAAGACATGGACTCTGTTGTCAGGCAACTGTGCTTACAGATCACAGTGATGTAAGGCAGAACATGGTTTGTACACCCTTAAAACTGTAATCAAGCCCTAAGGGAGCTCCAAAAACTCATGGCCATCAAGTCGGATCTGACTCATAGCAACCCCTCCTTGGGTTTCCAAGGCAGTATCACTACAGTCTATTCAGATGAGAATTAATTCTGACTGGAGGAATCTGAGACAGGCTTTATGGAAGAAGTGGTTATTTCTGCTGGGCTTTGAGGGATGAATAGAAGTCCTTGAGGTAGAGAGGAAAGGGAAAGTCACTGCAGTGTCAAAGGACTGCAAGACTTAATATTGTTAAGATGTCCATTCTTCCCCACTTTATCCACAGAGTCAACACAATCCCAATCAAAAGCTACCTTATTTTGTGGATACTGACTAACTGATTCTAAAGGTGGGAATGGCACTGCAAATGGTGTGGACAACATAAACAGAGGCAAGGAGGCAGAAAAACACGTGCACATTTAGGAAATAGCAAGCAGATTGGTCTGGCAGAAGAGAAAATGGGAGTATGAGACATGGGCATGAGTAACAGACGTGGGAATATGAAGTTATAAAGGAAGGCAGGGTCCTAATGTGGACTTTACTCTACTGACAGCAAAGAATCAATGGAGATTTCTGTAGGTAGTTTTCCTTTGAAAGCTACTGAAAGCCAATTACAAACAAGGCTAACAATCCATTAGAAACATTAGCAAACCACATAGACAGATCATCAATAAGTAAATTCTCACTCATCACCCAAGAAATGCAAATTGAAATTACACTCTGATATTTTTAACTCATTAGATTCACAAAACATACTGTAGGGAAACACATACCCTCATGTACTGCTAGTAACCTCTATGGAGGTCAATTGTTGTTGTTGTTGTTATTTGCCGTCGAGTCAGCCCTGACTCATAGCGACCCCTCCTTGGGTTTCCGAGGCAGTATCACTACGGAAGTAGGATTGCCCAACCTTCCTTC